TTTTTTTAAATAAGTGAGTTACTAAGCCTCAGTTTACAGGTTCTGACTGCTTCTCTAGCATTTCTTAGCTTTTCTTCTTTGATGAGTGTACCACCTTTTCCCTCTTCCTAAAGCTCCTAACCATTCATTACCTGCCTAGTTCTACCCACCTTTCAGGTAATAAGTGAAGGCAGAGTATTTTAATGGTTACTTTTTTCTGTTACTTTTGTAATCTTTTTAGTCTCTGGTCCTCCTGCTTCGCCATTGAATTACGGTTTTGTTTTTTCGGGTTTTGGGGGGGGTTTTCCAGTTTGTTTATTTATTTATTTATTCCACGGGTGTTAGGGACGGAAGAGAAAAAGACAGCAACCCCCAACCCCCACAGTGTTTTGCTTTGTTTTTTCAAACTGCCAAGAGACACTTGTGCTCACTTCAGAGAGACAGGAGGAGGATTTCTCCATCTTGTCAGGATTTCAGTCACATGCACACACACACACACACACACACACACACACACACACACACAGCATGTTTTTCAAGCCACTGGGCCAGTATTCAAGCTGCAGTCGATCATGTGATATTTGGCTTCCTTAGCCTCTAGGCCACAGGGGTGTTCCTCAACAGGGTTTTGATGCTGCAGTCTGCCCATAGCCTCAGAGTCAGCACCAGGTGATGGGCTCACACAGGCACTGATGTCTGAGGGTGGGCTCCGAATGCAAACCCAGAACCTTCCCATGTGGGCCAGCCTCGCAGAACTTCACACCACCGTGCCATCATCTGGCCCCACTGAAATACTTTTAATACCACATGTGAGAAAAGATATCTACCTCCTGCTTTACTCAGGATCAAATCATTAACATATGGCAAAGCTGGGTCAAGGTGGTTGCCCTTTAAACTGAATTTCATGTTTTCTATCTTATGCTGCTAAACTTTCTTAGAATATGAAATCTAAGGCTTCAAAAGTTCATCTTTTTTATTTTTATTTTTTTTAAGAGAAAAAGAGGTTTTTGCTACAGGGTGTGCTTACACTCGCCAGAGAGACAGAAAGCGAGAAATCACCCCCGGCGGGTACAACCACACCTCAGTCCCTTTTTCTCCATTCTTTTTCTCCATTCTTGGGATCTTAGACACACACGCACATGTGCCTGACGTGAGTTTTAAGCTGCCAAGTCTGGGACTCAAACCATGGTTGACTATGTGGAAGTCCAGCAATGTGACCATTATGCCATCTGCTGGTCCCCAAAAGCTCATCTTCTTAACAACTCATTGTACTACCAACCAGTACAGGTACTCAATAAATATAGTTTATTTTCTACATGATTAAGTAAAGTCTTTTATAAGAATAGTGAAGGAATTTTTTTTTTTAAGAGAGATTTTTGATATAGAACTCATGCACTCACTGGAGAGACAGAGAGACAGAAAGCAAGAAATCACTCCCCCCTGCCCCTGGGAAGATGGCCATGCCGCAGTTCCTTCTCCTCCGTTGTCCTCTCAGGACTTTGGGCATGCATGTACACCTGCCCAGCATGAGTTTTAAGCCACTGGGTCCGGAACTTAAACCACAGTTGACTATGTGGAAGTCCAGCAATGTAAACATTATGCCATCTGCTGGTTCCCAGGAAACTCCTTTTTCACTGTTGCATTTAGATCTCATGTATTGGCCAAGAATTATGATTGATTTTGTAAAGGTATTTTTAATGTTATGCTACAGCTATTGATAGCCCTATATTGTGTTTGAGAAAGAATTGTTACAGGCTGGGTCAGCGCAGCCATTAGGTGCTTTGCTCCGTTGTCCTCTCAGGACTTTGGGCATGCATGTACACCTGCCCAGCATGAGTTTTAAGCCACTGGGTCCGGAACTTAAACCACAGTTGACTATGTGGAAGTCCAGCAATGTAAACATTATGCCATCTGCTGGTTCCCAGGAAACTCCTTTTTCACTGTTGCATTTAGATCTCATGTATTGGCCAAGAATTATGATTGATTTTGTAAAGGTATTTTTAATGTTATGCTACAGCTATTGATAGCCCTATATTGTGTTTGAGAAAGAATTGTTACAGGCTGGCTCAGCGCAGCCATTAGGTGCTTTGCTTTGGGAGCCACATCCCACAATGGTTGTCCAAGGTTCAAATCCCAGTCCTGGTGGTTAAAAAAAAAAACATGAAAGGCACATGTTCATATGTGCCCCAAGTCCTGATGGGATGGAGAAATGGAGGAAAGGATTGCAATGTCCCAGACCTGACGCCTTGCTTTTTCACTTTCTCTTTCTCACTCACTCACTCACTCACTCACTCACTTTGTCTCTCTCTGGTCAAACTGAAATAGGTGAATCAATCAAGTTAAATAAAATAATTATTGAAAAAAAGAACTTAGGCAGGTAAACATAAGTGCTTGATCAAGCTTTATGTAAGACAAGATGCAGCTCCAAAGTTATGAGACAGGATCGTATTGTTTTTTGGTTAGTTTTTGGTCATAAAATCTATTTTGGCAAACAGAAGTTCCCAGTAGCTTTGAAAACATGTTTATGTTGTTATACTAACTGCAGGATCAGAAAGGACCATCTTGGGAGGAGATGGAGTAGTGATCAACACAGTCGGATGCTCACAGATGAGTTTTTGAGGAAAGCCATACTGGGGACTCCTCAAGTTTATTAGATTAATACTGTAAAGTGGTAACTCTTCCTTTATTTTACCTAGTAAGTTTTTTGCAAGGAAGCAACTGTTTATTTTGTCTGGCTCATAATGCTTAGTCCTGAAAATCAGGGCCTCGGGTTGTCATCATTCTGGGTTTAGTTTAGCCAGTCACTATTATCTCTTGAGTTTTTCATCTCATCCTCAAAATAAGAAATATGGGCAGATGATACCCAATCCGATGTCCCTTGCCAAATAAGAAACCTTAACTTTTTCCCTTAGTTCATGGATAGTTGTAAAATAAAACACATAGTAATATAACCTTTTGATCTGTGTATCTCTTATTGAACTGACTTAAAAAGTGAATTACAGAACCAGCAGGTAGTGTAATGGTTACATCATTGGACTCCCACGGGGCCAACTGTGGTTCAAGTCACAACCCAGCAGCTTGAAACTCACGCTGGGCATGTGTGCGTGCCCGCCCAAAATCCCAAGAGGAGAATGGAGGAGAAGGGATTACATCATGGCCATTCCCCCTGGGGGGTGATTTCTTGTTTTCTGTTTCTCTGTCTCTCCATCTCTCCAATGAGCACATGTGCCCTGTAACAAAAATCTCTCAAAAAAGAAAAAAAAAAGTGATTTCGAGGCCAGCCCCGTAGCCTAGTAGTTAAGAAAACTGGATTCTACCTGGATGACTGTGTTTCAAATCCTGACCTAGACAGCTGAAAAAACACCCTAACCATGTGTGCATGTATGCCCAAAATCCCTACAGGATAGAGAAATGGAGAAGGAATTATAGTGTAACCATGTGCCATTTGGCTGCTGCTTTCTGTCCCTCTGCCTTTCTCTGGCAAGTGCCTGTGCCAGCTCTAGCAATTTTTTTTTTTTTTAAATAGTGATTTGAGGGACCAGCAGTTGGCGTAATGGCTGTGTCACTGGACTCCCATGTAGTCAACCATGGTTCGAGTCCTGGGCCTGGTGGCTTAAAATTCACACTGGGCATGTGTGCATGCATGCGCAAGACCCCAAGAGGAGAAGGGATCGTGGCGTGGCCATCCCCCCCAGGGGTGATTTCTCACTTCATGTCTCTCTATCTGTCTCTGTCTTTCTGGTAAGCGCACACACCCTATAGCAAAAACTGCTCTAGATAGATAGATAGATAGATAGATAGATAGATAGGCAGACAGGCAGACGGACAGATGTAGGTGTATGGATGGATGTATGGATGGATGGATAGATAGATAGATGTAGATAGATAGATAGTGATTTGAGCAGGTAGCATGGTGGTTGGGAGTGCTGGACCTCCACATGGCCGACCATGGTTCAGGGGTTCGAGTCCTGGACCTAACCTCTTGCTTTCTCACCTTTCCTCTCTTTCTCACTCTGGTCAAATTAAAATAAATAAATAAGATTAAATAAAATAAATCTTTAAATAAACAAATAGTGATTTGGGGAACCGGCAGGTGGCGTGGTGGTTATGGGCACGGGACTCTTACATAGCCAACCACATTTCAGTCCCCAGACCTGGTAGCTTGCTTTCACACTTTCCTTCTCTCTTGCTTTGTCCTTTCTGGTCAAATTAACATAAATAAGTAATTCATTAAAAAAAATTTTTTAAATAGTGATTTGATTTTGTTTCTCAAAAACCATACATTGCTTTAGCATTGTTACAGTCCGGTGAAGAATAAGCATGCTTCCAATAGTACAGGGAGCTTGCTGAAATAGATGAAGTCCGTTTGACATTGTCAACCAGGGAGTTATCTTCAGTTATTTACGTCTCACTTTGAACCACAAGAATGTGAGTAATAAAATAATGATAAACTACAAAGGATAAGATAAGCAGGATCAGGGAAGTTAGAATATTAGAAATCAAAACCCGTGAAAGGAAAAGAACATAGATTTGACTCTTGAGATTCTGGCCCCAAAGATTAAAAGGAAATCAAGTGGTTCTGATTTTTCATACATGAGAAAAATAGACTCTCCAAGAGAAGTAAAGACTGCCTTAGCACTTAACTCTGAAATAAGGATATAACATGGGATGCTGGATAGGAAGATTGAAGGTCTCTACAAGTAATTAGCATGTAGCTGCAACAACCAAAGAAATCTAAAAATAATTTAGTACATGGTTTGCAAAAGAATAGTCATCTATTAGTGATAAGTAACATGGATTAAAAATGAATTATCCTGCAAAAAGAATAGTCATCTATTAGTGGTAAGTAACATGGATTAAAAATGAATTATCCTGTTTAGGAAAACTAGTTAGTTCGGAACTCACTCCTTGATGAGACATTGTATGTAGGTCTCCTTTCTATTTCGTTACCGTAAATTTAGCGTTACTAAACTTGAATTCTAATCACATCCTACCCTTCTCTATTTTCTGTGTGGCCCTAGCCAAAAAAGAAGAACATGTCAGCCTACCAAGTGTTCTGTAAAGAGTACCGTGTCACCATTGTGGCTGATCATCCAGGTATAGGTAAGAACATTTCAGTTCTTAGAAAAAAATGGGAAAGTGTATAAAATTAAATGTTACAGAGCATTATATATGTATGTACGTGTATACAAACACATAAATAAAGCAGTTTATTTCCAAAATTCTACAGCTAACCTTTTCCTTAATTGACGTTTGATACAGAATTATAATGAGTGGCTTATATATGCTGTTCACATTTTTCTCTGTACTAAAAGTGAGATGCGGGACCAGCAGGTGGCATGATGGCTAAGGCGCTGGACACTCCCATATGGCTGACCACAGTTCGAGTCCCAGACCTGGTGGCTTGCTTTCTCACTTCCCCTTTCTCTCTCTCTCTCTCTCTCTCTGGTCAAATTAAAATAAATGAATGAATAAATAAAAAATAAAATTAAAAAGTGAGATGAAAGCCAGCAGGTGGTGTGGTGATTAAGGATCTCACATGGCCAGCTCTGCATTTGAGTCCCAGACCATGCAGCTTGAAAAACACACCAGGCGCATATGTGTGTGTACCTAGAATTTTAAGAGGAGATTGGAGGAGAAGGGATTGTGGTGTAGTCATTTCCCCTGGGGGATGATTTTTCATTCTCTGTCTCTCTGTCTCTATCTCTCCACTGACCACATATACTCTATAGCAAAAATACAAAAAAGGATTTTTAAAAAGTGAGGTGAGAAAGGCACTATCCCATAGACCTTAGACAAATCACTTACCTCCACAAATCTCATTTGCATGTTGTGTAAAATGTCTACCCTGCCCCCTCCAGACGGTCGCTGTGAGATACATGTGAATGTGCTTTCCAAAAGCGTACTGTTGTCAGACAGACTGAGGACAGTGGCAGTGTTACACATCTGAAGGATTGCTCCTGAGCTGCTATGGGGACTTCTTCCTTCGTTCTGATCCCTGAAACCTGCATGACATACTTTCTTTTATCTAAGTGTACTGTGGGATCACATTAAGACATCAGAGGATGCGTAAGGACTAAATCCTTAAAGAATAGATGTGTAAGAATTTGAGCCTCTCTCATGACCCCAAAACATCCCCTTCCCCATAGAAAAACTTTTCAAAAAAGTGATGGGGCTCATTTGGGTTTTTCTGAAAGAATCTCGGGATATTTAAATCTAAACTCCAAAATCCTTTTTCTAGTTTGTGCTGCTGTCAACGTTTTGTTATAATAGCTAACCCCTTATGTATTGGATTTTTTACTCTTTTAAACCAGACTTTGGGGAACTTAGTAAAAAACTGGCCGAAGTGTGGAAGCAATTGCCAGAAAAGGATAAACTGGTAAGCACTTTCTCAGGAACTTTTTTCCTTCCAAAATGTGCAGGTCCCCTGTTCTCTGTGTATCTAGGAATAGGTAAGCACATTTCTAGTCCTAGCAAAAATGAGGAACTATGTAAAATTTGATTGTATATACACCTGATAGGACAGCGATTCTGAAAAGAGTGAAGAAATAACATATCAGTGGAAAATGGTTTAGCAGTTGGTGTTGGTGTCATTTCCTCTTGGCAAGAATGTAACAATAGAGAAGCTATCCTCCTAACCTTGTCTAGTTTATTTTCCCAACAACTTTACATTTAAGCCAAAAAACAACCTAACTTAGCAGTGATTGAAGTATTAAAAAGAAAATCTAAAGTCAGAGCTTCTGCTGCAGACACTGGGTAGTCAGCCATGGCCTGAGATCTGAGGGAGTTCATCCACACAGTAGTCACTGCAAAACATGGGAATGTGCCACCAGGTGACCAAGGTCCAGGGCATCAGCCTCGGCAACCATCACCACATAACAAGCCTTGCCATCAAAAAGCCAATCAGATAGTGACAAATAGTCCCATCTGAATCACTCATGGTCCCTTTGTAACTGGAAACGAAGGTGGTATTGGAACCAGAGTTGCCATCTTTTAAGGTACTGCTCTCGACAGAATAACTATTTTTCACTCAGGTTATCTTTAATTTCTGTTTTCCATGTCATTGTTATCTTGCTTCTGGCATTGCCAACCAGAGGGCTAGAGGAAATATTTAAACCACATAGATATTACACAGTCAGGTGGTCTCTGTGATTTTACATTTTCACATTAGAATGATCGACCGTTAGCCTTGAGGGTGTTAATGGCATAACTGCCTGAAGCTGATTCAATGACCCTTAGCTTAAAAGTTAGTGTTAATCTGGGGCCAGAGGTGGTGTGGTGGCTAGAGGTGCTGAATTCCCACATGGCCGACCATGGTTCGAGTCCCAGACCTGGCAGTTTGCTTTCTGGCTTTCCCTTTCTCTCTGTCTTTGTCTGGTCAAATTTAAAAGACAATAATAACAATAACAACAAGTGGAATTAAAAAATAAATATTTTTTTAAATAAAAAATTAGTGTTAATCCAGTATCTGCACCATTCCACTCTTCCCTCTTTTTTCTTCATTTTGTTCTTTTGTGATTGCTTTCCCTCTAACTTTTTTGTCCTTTTTAATTTAATTTGTGTACACTGATCAGATTATTGGATTGCAGGTTTGGAAGCAGAAAGCTCAATATCTACAGCACAAACAGAACAAAGCAGAAGCTACAACTGTGAAAAGAAAAGCATCCAGCTCAGAAGGTTCCATAAAAGTAAAAGGTAGTGACCACGTCCCCCTCCTGCTTTTAGCTCTTTTCTCTAAAGCACTGTGAATTTTACTTCCTTACTAGAAAATAGGAAGAGTAGCTCATATTACAAGCAGACCTTGATGCCCAGTTATTATCACTGAAGGTTACAGACTGCGGGCGCGGGGTGGGGAAGGAGGACCTTCAAATTAGAAAATGGAAATCAGAGATCAGCAAACTTTTTCTGTAAAGGTCCAGATAATAAATATCATAGGCCTTGAGTGTCACGTGCATTTTCTGTCACATAATCTTATTTTTTTATAACCCTTTTAAAATGTAAAATCAGGGGGCCAACTCATGGAGTGGTTGTTAAGGCAGTTGAGTCCTACATGGCTGACTGCATGGTTCAAGTCTTGGACCTGGTGGCTTGAAAAAAACACATCAGGCACGTGTACACGCATGCTCAAAATCCTGAGAGGCGGCAAGGTGGAGGAAAAAGGATTATGGCATGGCCATCTCCCAGGAGGGGTGCTTTCTCATTTTCTCTCCCTTCCTTTCTCTTCTGTCTCTCTGGTCAGAGCATGTACTCTCTGGCTTTTTTTTTTTGAGAGGAGTTTGCTATAGGGTGCGTGTGTTCATCAGAAAGAGAGACAGAGAAACAGAAAACGAAAAATCACCCCCGGGGGAGGGGGGGTGGGAATGACCATGCCACAGTCCCTTCTCTTCCGTTCTCCTCTCAGGATCTTGGGCACACATGCACGCACACGCACCTGGCATGAGTTTAAGCCACTGGGTCCAGGACTCAAACTGCAGTCGACTACATAGGAGTCCAGCAACGTAGTCAACGTAGTCATTACGCCAATTGTCCCTCTCTGGCAAAAAATTTTTAAATAAATGAACAAAACAAAAATAAAATGTAAAATTATTCTTAGCTTACAGACCATACAGAAAGAGGTCCAAGGCCATAGTTTGGCTAATGCCTGGTCTAGTTCATGAAAAGGGAAATCAGGAAGGACAGTTCTGTGCTGTGCAAGGCCATAGGCAAGTTTTCTCTGTCTCCTTTCATGCCCCTGTTCTCAGCTTCTTCTGCAGGAGTGCTGTCACCCCAAAAGAAGTCCCCACCCACCACTGTGCTGTTACCAGCCTCGCCAGCCAAAGCCCCTGAGACAGAGCCCATTGATGTTGCTGCTCACCTCCAGCTGTTGGGAGAGTCCCTGAGCCTCATTGGACACCGCCTGCAGGAAACTGAGGTGTGTGCCGCTCTCAGGAGCATGACTCCAGCTTTGTGTGTAATTTGGATTCATTCAATCATTTCACATGCATTCGTCGAGCCATTGCTTTATGCTAAATTATGCCAGGCATGCAGGGTGTGGTAATAAAGAAGACATCATGTGGTGGGGGGGCGGGTGCGCCAGCAGGTGGCATGGTGGTTAAGGCACTGCTCCCACATGGCTGACCATGGCTCAAGTCTGGATCTGGTGGCTTGCTTTCTCACTTCCCTCTGTTTTTCTCTGATGAGCCCATATGTCCTGTGGCAAATTAAAAGAAAAATAATAACGATAAATAAAATAATGTTTTTTAAAAAGAAGACATAATGGCAATAGAAACATAACAGAAGAGATAGATTTGGAATCTACCCATTGGCTCTCAAAGTTCACACTAATAGCATTTTATTGAAACAGTGGCACACAAAAAATGTTGAAATACCTTGTAACATTTTTTTTAAGTACAGTAGAAAAGGTTAATACAAATCAAATAGCAGTTTTAGTCACTTACATGTCTAAAGAATTTGACTTTTTCTTGGGACCAGCAGTTAGCATAATGGCTATGTCGCTGGACTCCCATGTAGTTGACCACGGTTCGAGTTCTGCACCTGGTGGCTTAAACTCACGCCAGGTGCGTGTGCGTGCGTGCCCAAGATCCCGAGAGGAAAATGGAGGAGAAGGGATTTTGGCATGGCCATCCCCCCTGGGGGGGGATGATTTCTCACCTTCTATCTCTCTGTCTCTCTCTGTCTTTCTGGTGAGTGCATGTGCCGTATAGTGAAAAACCTCTCCAAAACAAAAAAAGAGTTTGAATTTTTCTGTGCATTTCCAACTAAGTTTTGAATGCACAGATCAACTTGCACATGGGATTAAAAGTTCTTCTGCTTCTTTAAAAATAGGTAGCAAATGGGAAGTTGAGTTTTTCAAGCTCTTCATTACCCTACATTTGAACTATATAGTGCTGTATGCCCCAGATCTTTGTCCTTTTAACTTCAATTTCAAAATTACTTAACCTGCAAGCTGTCACGTTCCATTTCTATTATCACATTCAATTTCTAATCATTTTGCCCCCAAGCTAACTCAGGAGTACAGTTGTTCAGCTTTTTACTGAGTTCTAATAGGACATTTCAGCAAAGAAATCAGCATAAGTTACTAGTACCATTTGTAAGCTACAAAATCATTATAAGAATATAAAACTAATCCCTCACCCTTTTTTTTAGGATTATTTTATTTAACTTTGTTATATATTTATTTGTTTTAATTTGAGCAGAGAGGGGCAGAGTGAGAGAGGGAATGAGAAAGCAAGTCACCAGGTCTGGGACTCAAACCGCAGCTGGCCATGTTAGAGTATAGCATTCCTAACGACCACATCACTTGCCAGCCCCAATCACATGCTTCTATGTGGACTGAATTGTTATTCAAATAGAACGCCAGAGACTGACTATACGAGATGAAGTTGTATCTGAGTTCTTTAGCTAGTTTCTAAAACTTCAGCAGGTGCCAAAAGGACCTAGCGTTTCACATCTGCTCGATGTCTCAATCAGTGTAGGTATTCCTAGGGTAAGATGGTCTGGGGCCAGCTCCGTGGCGTAGCAGTAGTGAGCTGCTCAAGAGCTGGATCATGGGGCCAGCAGGGGGGATGGTGGTTAAGGCTTGGGACTCTCCTATGTCCAACTACGATTTGTGTCCTGGACCTGGCAGCTTAAAAATCATGCCAAGCTCTTGTGCGTGCCTACCCAAAGTTCTGAGAGGAGAATAGAGGAGGAGGGATTGGCTATCCGCCCTTGGGGAGTAATTTCTCACTTTCCACTCTCTGTCTCTTTCTGGTGAGCACACCTTATGGCAAAAACCTAAAAATAAATAAATAAATAAATAAAAGCAAAAAGAGAAGCTGGATCCCACATGCCACGTGAATCCTTGGCTGAGTTAACCTGAAACACACTGGGCACACGTGCAAGTACCTCAGATCCAATGGGCTAGAGGACAAGAGGAAAGGGATCGTGGCATGACCAGACCCTGGGAATGGTGCTCCTCTTCTCTCTCTCATGCATACACACGCACTATATTGTGAATAAGGGGGGAAATAATTCATATTTATTTTTCATATGTAATTCTTACATTTTCTAGAAAGTTAGAAGTCAAAATGGTTTGTTTTTTTTTTTAAGAATTGTTTTATTTAACTTTATTATTATTATTATAATTATTATTACTATTTTCTAGTTTGATCAGAGAGGGAAAGTGAGAGAGCAAGCCACTAGTTTCAAGACTTAAACCATGGTTGGCCATGTGGGAGTCCAGCACCTTTAACTACCATGTCACTTGCAGGCCTAAATTTGGTTTCTTTTTTTTTTTTTTGGAGAGGTTTTTCACTATAGGGCGCGTGCGCTCGCCAGACAGACAGAGAGAGACAGAGAGACAGAAAGTGAGAAATCACCCCCCAGGGGGGATGGTCATGCTGCAATCCCTTCTCCTCCATTCTCCTCTCGGGATCTTGGGCACGCACGCACACGTGCCCGGCATGAGTTTTAAACCACCGGGTCCGGGACGTGAACCGCAGTCGACTACGTGGGAGTTCAGCGACATAGCCATTACGCTAACTGCTGGCTCCCCTAAAATTGGTTTCTTTTAAGCACTTTCCACATTTCAGATTTTCCCAGATAATTCCCTTTAGTTCAGCAAATACTTGTTGAATACCCAGAAATTATTTTAGGAATTTGAGGAAAGTTAAAAAAAAATTAAATAAGCAGTATTCCTATCATAAGGAAACTTACCCTTCAATTGATAGAATATATACATATTCTATCTTTATAAAAAGGCCAGCTTCTATGAATAAATACTGTAAGAGAGTCACATATATATAGTAAGCAGAAAGGAAAGGATTTGGACTAGATTCTCTAGTCCATTGATAACAGCCTTATTGAGATACAATTGACACGCCATAAAGCTCACCGTTTAAGTGCAGGAGTTAGTGGGTGTTAGTATATTCACAGGATTGTGGATCTCAGTGTACTACCACTATCCAATTCCAAATCATTTTCATTAACCCCCAAAGAAACTTGGACCCATTGGCAGTCATTCCCCATTCCCCATCTAGTTCGCATTCGCCTTGAGCTTAACGGTTTGCGTATATCCTCACAATTTTGCAGATTCTTTGTACCGATGATACTGTTATGTACTTTGTAGCCTTCTTTAAATAAACCTATCCATGTTTTTATAATAGTGTTCTTGACATCAAAAGGATGATATTTTAGGTTTTTTCTGGTGCACATCATAATTGATAGGTAGCTGTCAGTAATTAAGGCTCACCTATGTGCCACCTGAATTTACTTCTCATACTTTAAGGAACATCGATTTCCCCCCATGAGGGGTGAATTCTCACTTTCTCTCTTTTTCTCTTTCTGCATTCCAGTAAGAGATGTTGAGAAGGAAAGAGAAATTACTCCCTGGGGGAGATGGTTACAGTACAATCCCTTCTGCAGTCCCCTCTCAGGATCTTGAGCACGCACATATATGTCCCCAGTGTGACTTTCATGCCACTAAGTCCAGGACTTGAATTGTGGTTGGTTATGTGGGAGTCCAGTGATGTAACTGCTCTGCCATCTGCTAGCCCGTTAGCTGTTTTATATAATGGGGTCCTGGGGCCAGCAGTTGGCATGGTTTTGAAGGCACTGGACACTCCCACATGGCCAACCACAGTTCGAGTCCTGGACGTGGAGGCTTGCTTTCTCACTTTCCCTGTTTTACTGCTGGAACATGCAATACACAAGGTAAGAGATTAAAGCTAGAACCCACCTTATAGAAGGTCTCCACAGACTTTCTAAAGTGTTTTGTTTGTTTAAATAATTATTTAATTCCATTTGTTATTATTGTTTTTATCTGACCAGTCAGAGATAGAGAAAAGAAAAGTGAGAAAGCAAGCCACCAGGTCCGAGACTCAAACTGCGCTCAGCGGTCGGCCATGTGGGAATCTAGAGCCTTTAACCACCATGCCACCTGTCAGCTCCCACTACAGGAATTTTTTTTGTCCTTTGGCTTTCTTTGAGAATGTCTTCTGAGATTACCAGTGGAAAAAAAAAGATCAGAATTGGGGAGAAGTTTTAGCAATAATATGGACATGAAAAAGATTCTAATTTAATTCAATAAATGCTTACTTAGAGGTTACTCAGCTGCGCGTTGTCAGGACCTCCCTTTCACAGAGCCTCTCCTGCCTCTTCCCACCTCTTTGTTCTGTGCAGAACACTGCTGGTTACTGAAAGGACATAAAAAGGAATAAGGGGCCAGCAGGTGGTGATAAGGCACTGGCCTCCCATGTGGCCAACCCTGGTTTAAGTCCCAAACCCAGAGGCTTAAAACTCAGGCTAGGTGCATGTGCATGTGTGCTTAAAATCCTGAGAGAATGGAGGAGAAAGGATTGCAGCATGGCCATGCCCCCTGGGGGTGATTCATCATTTTCTCTCTCTCTGCCTCTCTGGCGAGTGCACATGCCCTATAACAAAAATCTCTCTTAAAAAAAAAATATAATAGTAAAATAAAAAAGGCTTGGTGGTTTTAAAGGTGCTGGATTCCCACATGGCCAACTGTAGTTCGAGTCCCAGACTTGGTGGCTTGCTTTCTTACTTTCCCTTTCTCTCTCTGGTCAAATAAAAAATAATAACAAATGGAATTAAGTAAAAAAAAAAAAAAAAAAAATTGGGGGGAGAGGTTTTTGCTATAGGGCGTGTGCATTCGCCAAAAAGACAGAGAGAGACAGAGAGACAGAAAGTGAGAAATCACCCTCCAGTAGGGGGATAGCCACGCCGCAATCCCTTCGCCATTCTCCTCTCAGGATCTTGGGCACATGCACCCAGCATGAGTTTAAGCCCCCCGGGTCCAGGACTTGAACCATGGTTGACTACTTGGGAGTCCAGCGATATAGCCATTATGCTAACTGCTGGTCCCAGTAAAAAATTTTTTTAAATAAAAAAGAAATAGGACCTGGTTCCTGCTCTCTAGCAGCTTAAAATTCATTAGGAAGGCTCCACATAAATATTAGCTATATAATCATCCCTTGGTCCCCATGGGAGATTAGTTCCAGGACTACCTGGTTGCTTATGTACCTGATGTTAAATGGTGTAATATTTTCACATAACCTTCAAATCATCTCTCAATTACTTATAAAACCTACTGCAATATAAAAATAGCTGTTACACTGTTTTGGAGGAGGGTTTGGTTTTTTTGTTTGTTTGTTTGTTTTTTAATTATTTTATTTAACTTTATTTATTATTATTATTTTCATATGAGTTTTTCCAGAGAAAGACCGAGAGAGAGAGAGAAAGGAAGCCGCCAGGTCCGGGACTTGAACCATGGTCAGCCATGTGGGAATTCCAGCACCTTAACCACCACACCACTTGCTGGCCCCATGGAGGGTTTGTTTTTTTGAGAGATTTTTTTCCATAGGGTGCGTGTGCTCACCAGAGAGACAGGTAGAAAGTTAGAAACCCATTCCCCTCTGGGGTATGGCCACACCACAATCCCTTCTCCATTCTCTCAGGATTTGGGGCACTCACGCACATATGCCTGGCATGAGTTTTAAGCTGCCAGGTCTGGGACTCAAACCGCTGTCGGCAATGTGGGAGTCCAGCACCTTAACCACCATGCCACCTGCCAACCGCAAGAGCTCATTGTCTTGAGGACTCTGATATGCTACCTCCTGAAATGGCATATCTTCACAGTGTTTCCAGTTAAAGCAGATTGTGAAAGAGATGAGCAGTGGTATTTACAGCAAGTAATCTCAAATATATAGACAGTATGACTTGTCTCTGATGTTAAAATGTGAAATGAACCAAATTCACTTCTTTTTGAGTGTGAACAACTCAACCTAAGACAGTGATCTCAGCTATCAAAAGCCATGTATGTGGGAACCAGCAGTTAGCGTAATGGCTATGTCGCTGGACTCCCACGTAGTCGACCGTGGTTCGTGTCCCGGACCCGGTGGCTTAAAACTCACGCCGGGCGCGTGTGCGTGCGTGCCCAAGATCCCAAGAGGAGAATGGAGGAGAAGGGATTGCGGCGTGACCATCCCCCCTGGGGGGTGATTTCTCGCTTTCTGTCTCTATGTCTCTCTCTGTCTGTCTGGCAAGCGCACGCGCCCTACAGTGAAAATCTCTCAAAAAAAAAAAAAAAAAAGCCATGTACGTGAAGTATGTATATGTTTCCATTAAAGGTTAATATGTAGGGTTGTTGAATGTAAATTTGTTGACAGCTTTGGGGTATATAACAGAGACACATTTGTACATAAGACCTCACAAATCTTCCCAATAGCTTTCTGGAGTAGAAGAGCTATATTCACTATTCCTGTTAAGTAGAAAGGAGTTACGTGACTTCCCCAAGGATCAAAATAGAAGGAAAAAGGAGGAAAGATACAGAAAGGAAATCTGGGAATGCATTGTCAGTTTTCTTTTTTAAACAGTTTGCAGAGCTACCAAGTAGATACTTTTAATTTCTGCTGCAAGTTTTATGTTGTATTACTAGAACTTCCCGGATTAAAGAACCACGTGAAAATCAGCCAGAACATGGAGAGCGCATCAGAGTGTGATTCGAGTTACAGTCTCCTCTCCTTTTCTAGGGCATGGTAGCTGTGTCTGGCAGTTTGTCAGTGCTGCTGGATTCCATTATCTGTGCGCTTGGCCCCTTGGCCTGTCTGACCACACAACTACCCGAACTGAATGGCTGTCCCAAACAGGTCTTGGTGAGTTTCCTTGTTTTCCTTAGATTTCTAGGGCTGGACCCTTGGGAACCAGAAAGGCCCTGGCTTAATGGGCACCGTTAGGCACAGGTTCATAAAGCTTTGTGGCATATGGCACTTCCTTTCACCCTGTGGAACAGTATACTGTATTACTAAATGCACGCTGTACTTGTAGTGAAACTAGAAAACTTGGCATTTCTCAGAATAGTACATTGGAGGGAGGCGTTCTAGCCCTTGAGGTACTGTAACTGCCATGCTGCTTCTCCCCCTCCCCCATGAACTTATATTATTAGTTAAATCATGATTCCAAGGGTAGGGAACACTGTGTACCCAGGTCCCATTTCAGCACCTGGGAGAAGGACGGAGGGCAGACTGCTTTGCTTCTTGTTCACTCTTCTACGTACAATGATAATACAAGAATTTTCTGTCTCATTTTTGTTCCCACTAATGGGAAAAATGAGTAGGAAATCTCCTAATGTAACAGACAACAGGATGGCTTCTTCATTCTCACCATTTTCTCCGTCTTTTCTTTCTCATCTCTCTCCCTTGAACAAAGAAGCGTGTCTCAGCAAACCAAAGTAAAGTACTCTTCATCTGAACCTTTGTTTCTTGTTTTGTAGTCAAACACACTTGACAACATTGCTTACATCATGCCTGGACTGTGACAGCAAAGACTCCTGGGACTGAAAACTTAGCCTACCCTGTTGCTGGTTTGTGTATATATGACTGTTCTAGATCCCATCACTGGCCTCTGGGTGTAGGTTTTAAATTTTTATATTCGTACATATAAATATATATAAATATATATATATATATATACATAATGTACAATATATAAATAAATCTGTAACTACTTTGCTTTTAATAATTTTATGCAATGGCAAAGGTTTAGCCAAGAGGAAACTTTGGCATGAATACAGGCTTGGGATTCTTTTTTCTCCTGTGGTGGGTAAATCTGCCTTAAAAAAATCAATGTCACTTCGGGGTCGGGGGCTTGTTCTGAGTGCCAAGTGCATCTCTTTATGGACAGCTAAAAAATGTGATTTTTTTTTGTTTTCCCAAACTCAGTTGTACCTCCAGACCCATCACTGACCATTTGCCTTATCTGTCTTACAGTCTGAAATGTAAGAGGAAAGATTATGGGAGGGTGCCAGTACAAAGCCTTCCACCTTGAGATGACCCTGGTGGGAGATGACAAAATTGTTCCTACTGTAGTTACTGAGATGGCTTAGGTAAACTGAGTCAGGGGCTCATTCCAGTTGCTTCCGTGTAGGTGTCCATGTCTTGAATTTTACTATAATCATTGGTACCATTGGTAGCCTCTGTAGAGGCCAAGGAGTCATGTGAGCCCTGGCAGCAAAAAGTATCTTGGGGGGACCAGCAGTTAGCTTAATGGCTATGTCGCTGGACTCCCACGTAGTCGACCGCGGTTCGCGTCCTGGATCCGGTGGCTTAAAACACGCCGGGCGCGTGTGCGTGCGTGCCCAAGATCCCGAGAGGAGAACGGAGGAGAAGGGATTGCGGTGTGGCCTTCCCTCCTGGGGGGTGATTTCTTGCTTTCTGTCTCTCTGTCTGTCTGGCGAGCTCACACGCCCTATAGCAAAAACCTCTTAAAAAAAAGTACCTTGGGGAGGTTAAAGCTGTCAGTGCCACCACTTGAACCTGCATGTATTCAGAGCTGACCCAGTATATTTGTGTGCAAAACTAAGAGCTGGTATCTTTGGTCAAGACCATCAGGTTACCACCAAGTCCTCACAAGTTCTGCTGCTTTAGTTGCGTGGTGGTTGTGGAAGGTGAACTGCCCAGCATGATTCCTGGGTTCATCGTGGCAGTTCCCCTGGGGCAGATAGTGTTCTGCATTCCACGTGTAAGTGAATTGCAAACAAATAACTACGCAATACTCGTGTCGGTTTATTTATGTGTGCGTGTGTATTTTAATTATGTATATTTAACTCTTTAAAATCTATTAGATTTTAATTTATCCTGTAAAGTTCTGTATATATAATTTAATAACAAAAGCCTCCACCAGCAGTTGCACGTGGAAGATTCAGATTTGTCATTTGTTCTTTCCTTCCTTCCTCTAGTCTTTTCCCAAAAATTCCAAATCACCTACACATTTAAGGTATTGTGCCTCAAAAAGGAATCATTATATTGGGATCCTAATTGTTTATAAAGAACTTCATGGCCTTCAATAATGTCCAGAAAGTAAAATAAAAAGGAATGTTCCTGTTCCCAACTGCCCTTTTTTCCAAAGAACCAGATTTTTGCTTCTCAGTTAGAGAGAAGACAGTAAGTACTTGGGGTTGTTTTTAAATTTGGTGTGAGATTTCCTGCCAGAACCAAGCTCTGGAGTAACTGCTCTCTTCTCCTGGCCTAGACAGAGCACCGCAGCTTCAGAGTAAACCTTGGGGACAGTGCAGCTAGCCTGCATTCTATTTAATTCCTTCCTTCTCCCACCAGTGTTGTCACAGGGCTGTGCTTCTTAAAGGTGCTCTGGCTGCCAGATCCCTTTGTCAGCTCAGAGCAGTTTTGAGATTTAATAGGGAAAACACAGACGGAAACAGGACTGTTGGGAACCAGAATCAAGAAGGACAGAAATCTTAGTTGGATTTCACATATTAGAACCTCACACCATGCCTCGTCTGTATCAGTAGACGTTTCCTGTTTGACACAGGGTGTTAGCAGGAGCACGGAAGCCATGGATGGTACGGCAAGAAGTCAGTCCCGCCATTATCATTTGTATTCATTGAATGAAAGCCCAGCGAGGACCCGCGTTTTGTTTTCCTTCGAAACCCAGCCTGATTGTATTTGTATTTAAACTTTGTACACATTTGTATAATAATCTGTACCTTGTGGTATTTGGTACTATTAGAGGGAAAACTTTGGATTCAGACCTTCTTGCAGTTTTTATATCATTGTTTTATTTTGTTTTTTAAATAAATTCTAGTGGTTTGATCCAAATCCTATTACAGTTGTATAAAGAAATAAAATTTTGTACTTATATTATTAAAAATCACATTTTTAATATTTGTAGTTCAGTCTCAGCTGTCTTTTCCATAATCATGCTAGTCATAATTGCTGTGAGATTATGAAACTTTGTTTTTCACACTGTATTGTACCATAATTTTCATTTTTAAACTACATCAGCCTGGAATAGATGTCAAATTTCTGGGTTGTTTTTCTTTTTGCCAGAGGGTGCATGTACAAGTGGGCAATGACCACACTTCAGTCCCCTCTCCACTTCTCTTTTTGGAGTTTCGGGCACATGTGCTCACACACACGCATGCCCAGTGCTTTTTTTTTTTTTTTCCAGTCTGAAAACAGCCACTGTTTATTTACTGACCAGATTACAAAAACAATCATGATGGATACCTTAGTTCATCCTTCTAATAAGTCTGTTGATCTGGTCATCCCTATTGCCAGCATCTCCACCTTCTACAAAATGGGGGTGGTCTTTTTTCTTCATTCCACCTCGCAGAGAAGATAATTTGAAGGGCCATAGGAAGTTATTGGTTTCTTTGAAGCATTTTCCAACAGTATAGATTTCATGAATCAGTCCTCCATGCAGATGATGCCAAATTTACCAAGAGATCAAGCAATCAAAGAATTGTCTGTCAAAGCAGTTTGCTTCTTATTGATTTTGCCATAACACGTTTGTAGATCAGTTCATTTACTGACTTCAGGTTTGGGTACCCCATGCAATATATTGTCCCACAATTCTCAGCATGTTAACTGAGGCCTTGTTGAGTTTAACAAAGGTGCCACTGAAGATCTGGCAAAGACAAAGAAGCTACAACACCTTTCGAACCTTTGGGCTCACTCCATTGATACCTCTGATCCTGATGACAGTTTTATTTTATGCTTAATATTTGCCAATTACATTTCTATCAGCTGTGTTGATAAAATCCATATACACATTTGTTTAAATACTATATCATATTCTGTTTGGGTGGAGTTAATATGATTCCACTTCCTGTTTAGGGGATATGTGGGTTCTTTCTGATTTCCTTCTGTGCAGAGTAAAGCTTATGAGGACTTCTAGGAAATCACCACCCAAAATGGGGACCTTAACAGTTGTGAATGGAAGAACTTAAAAGGGGTTTATACTAAATATACTCCATACAACCAAGCATTATGTTTAAATGTATAAAAGTAGCTGACATAAAGGTCATCTTAAGTGCATACTACCCCTTGGGCCAGCAGTTGGCATAGTGGTTAAGATGCTCGACTCCCACGTGGACAGCTACTGTGTGAGTCCCAGACTTAGCGTTTTCTCTTTCCCCCTCCCTCCCTTCCTCTAGCACTGTCTCTCTCTCTCTGGTAAGCATGCGAGCTCTATAGCAAATTTTAAAATAATAACTAAAATTAAAATAAATAATTATTTACAAAAAAATGTATGGGGACCAGCAGTTGGCATAATGGCTATGTCACTAGGCTCGCATGTAGTCAACCGCAGTTCGAGTCCCAGACCCAGCGGCTTAAACTCATGCTGGGCGTGTGTGCATGTGTCCCCAAGATCCCTAGAGGAGAATGGAGGAGAAGGGATTGTGGCATGGCCATCCCCCCCTGGGGGGTGATTTCTCGCTTCCTGTCTCTCTGTCTCTGTCTTTCTGGTGAGCACATACGCCCTATATCAAAAAACCTCTCCAAAAAAAAAAAGTATGTCACCCCGTTATAGTCCAGAACCCATTATTGAAAGGTAAGTTGAGGGACAGCCCACTGTGTGGTGGATAAGGTATATGGATCCCGTGTGGCCAACCCCACAGTTTGAGTCCTAGACCTGGCAGCTTGAGAAATACGCCAGGCATTTGTGCATGCCCAAAATCCCAAAAGGAGGGAGAGATGGAGAAGGGATTATGGGAAGACTATGCCTCAATGGGGAGGTGGGGGAAGTGCTTCCTCTCTTTTTGCCTAGCAAGCACATGTACCCTCTTGCAAATTAAAAGGGGAAGAAAAGGTAAATTGATAGAAATTTTCAAATGCTAGTCATTGTATTAGACCACAGTGGTAAGCAAATCAGATGTATCCCAGCCCTCCAGTAGCATCTAGACTAACGGAGAGGAAGGACATTTGTAACAGGTCTCAGAACCGTGCGTCTTACTGAAGCACTTCAGAACATAGGAATACATGACTTGGTAACTTTTTTTTTAATTTCTTTTTTTATATATTTATGATAGAGCACATGCACGTACACTTGAAAAAGAGAGAGAGCAGGATCACCCTCCACAGAGTCTACCCACATTGATCCCCTCCAGCCCCATAGTACCTGGCATGTTTAGACACGATGGGCATTCAAACTGAGGTCACCATGTAGGATCTGTCTTCTTGAACGGTGCGTTACTGCTGCGCCATAGAACTGAAAGCTTTTGTTTTATTTTGGTTTTCGCTATAGGGCACGTGCACTCAAGAGACAGAAAAAAAAGGAAAGTGAGAAATCACCCCAGCAGTGGGGTGGCCATGCTACAATCCCTTCTCCATTCTCGAGATTCTGACCACGCAACCCAAAACACATGCCTGGGGTGATTTTCAAGCCACTATGTCCAAGACTCAAACTGCGCAGTAGACCACATGGGATCCAGCTGTCTTAACCTCCTGTCACCTGCTGGCCCTCCCCCATTAAGTTTTTTCATATTGTACAGTAATGATGTTGAAGGGCCAGCCAGTGGGGTGATGGTTAAGATGGCTGCTTCCCACATGGCCAACCGTGCGGTTCAAGTCTCAGACTCTGCAGCATGAAAGGCACTCCCAGTGCATATGCATGCATGTCCGAAGTCCTGAGAGGAGAATGGAGGAGAAGGGATTGTGGCATGGCCATCTTCCCTGGGGAGGGGTGCTTTCTCAATTCTCCTCTCTCCCTCTCTGTCTCCCTGGTAAGCATATGCATCTTGTAGCAAATTATTAAAAAGAAAAAAAGTTGCATGTTTTGACTGTTCAAAGAAACATACAGAGGTAATTAGTTCCAATGTAGGTTTTCCACCCTCCAAATTTGTGCAATACTAGCCTCTCAGGTTTAAAAATTACAAACATCAAGGCCAGCAAGTGGCAACATGGTATTAGCTAAGCAAAACACCTCTAAAATCTGTTAGACCCATAGACAGCCAGTGTCTGACTTTCACGCCACATGGGAACTGGGCTCCTTTTTTTCTTTCTTTCTTCTTCTTTTTTATTTATTTATTTTTTTTTTTTTGAGATTTTCACTATAGGGCGCATGCGCTCGCCAGACAGACAGAGAGAGAGAGACAGAGAGACAGAAAGCGAGAAATCACTCCCAGGGGGATGGTCACGCCGCAATCCCTTCTCCTCCATTCTCCTTAGGATCTTGGGCACGCACGCGCACGCGCCCGGCGTGAGTTTTAAGCCACCGGGTCCGGGACACGAACCACAGTCGACTACGTGGGAGTCCAGCAACATAGCCATTACGCTAACTGCTGGTTCCCGATAAGTAATGATTTTTAAAAAATCACAAACATCATGATTAATAAATACTAATGCAGGGACCAGCAGATGGCATAATGGTTACATCACTGGACTCCCATGTAGCTGTTGTTTTGTTTGAGCCCTGGATGCGGTGGCTTAAACCTCACACTGGGCACATGTGTGTGCGTGCCCAGGATCCCAAGAGGAGAATGGAGGAGAAGGGATTGTGGCGTGGCCATTCCCCCTGGAGGGTGATTTCTCACTTTTTGTCTCTCTGTCTCTGGCAAGCACACGTGCCCTATAGCAACAAATCTCTCTCCAAAAAAAAATAAATAAATACTAATGCACTCTGCAGGAGCCCAATCTACCAAGGCAGTAGTTAATTATATTTCTTGGAGTACACACTACAAGAAAAAGTCATAACTAATAGATCAAGTATCTAATGTGTAAGTGACAGATGACACAAACAGCCGGGAAGGATAAGGAAGATGATAATCCCAAAGTGAGAAAGGCCTTTGACATTTTTTTCTTATATACTTTTTTTTTTTAATTACTTAGTTTTATTTCCTATTTCTTTTCATTTGACCAGAGAGATGGGAGAGTGAAAAAGCAAGTCACTAGGTTGGGGACTCTTACCATGGTTGGCCATGTTGGAGTCCAGCACCTTGACCACCACACCACCTGTCAGCCCCAGCCTTTGACTTGAGGTTCACTGTTGTACTTCGGGGATTCCAAAAACTCTTAGAGACAGAGGCAAAATTTTATCACTGCCATTTTCTTCCAAAAAACTTATGTCTTTCTTAAATCCTCAAAGGATCCTGTAACCCAAAGGCAAAAAAAAGCAGTTAATATATCTTTTTTTTTTTTTGAGAGATTTTCACTGTAGGGCGCATGCGCTCGCCAGACAAACAGAGAGAGACATAGAGACAGAAAGCGAGAAATCACCCCCCAGGGGGGATGGTCACGCCGCAATCCCTTCTTCTCCATTCTCCTCTCAGGATCTTGGGCACGCACGCACACGCGCGCGGCGTGAGTTTTAAGCCACCGGGTCCGGGACACGAACCACGGTCGACTACGTGGGAGTCCAGCGACATAGCCATTACGCTAACTGCTGGTTCCCATATATCTTTGATCTAGGGCCAGCAGGTAGCATGCTGGTTAAGGCACTGGATCCCACGTGGCATACTCTATGGTTCAAGTCCTGAGCCCAGCCCCTTGAAAATCATGCCAGGGGACCAGCAGATGGCAGAATGGTTACGTCACTGGACTCCCACATAGTCAACCACGGTTCAAGTCCCTTACGTGTCAGCTTAAAATTCACGCCAGGAACATGTGCAAACAAGCCCAAGATCCCAAGAACAGAATGGAGAAGAGACTGCGGAGTGGCATTCCTCCCTGAAGGGTGATTTCTCACTTTTTGTCTCTCCAGAAAGCACAAGCACCCTATAGCAAAAATTGTAAAGGAAAAAAAGAAAAGGAAAGGAAAAAAATCATGCCTGGCTATGTGCCCACCGAGAGGAAAATGGAGAAGGAATTGCAGCATGGCCCCCTGGGGGGGGGTAAATTCTCACTTTCCCTATCTTTCTGTCTCTCTTTGGTGAGCATGCATGCGACTATATCAAAAATCTAAAAGAAGAAAAGAAAGAGAATCTGATCTAATTCCAGTATCGGAGAGGATGGTAGCTCACTGCTTGGATTGCACAGTAAATTTATGGCAGAGACAAGTACTGCAAGTGCCCCCATGTGACTATATGCGTGTGCTTTCTGCCACCCTGGGAGCTAGTGGGTCCGGGGCTGCAATTCATTAAGTTGGCTCCCATTCTCAAGAGAACACAAACCAGAGGTCCTTTCATCTTACGGGGGTGGGGGTAATACTTCGGGGCGGCGAGCAGGAGGGTTGTATCTTCACACCAAGGAGGCAGGGATAGGCCCAGAGAAGCTGTCAATCCCAGGGGTAGAGGGTATAGTTACAGGGAGGTCCCAAGGACTAAGAGTTGTGACACTGAGTCTGAGCTGCTACGAAAACCCGGTGCATCAGAGACCCACTTTTCCATGAGTGTTGAGAACCTTAGGCCACGCCCCCTGTGCTCTATTTTAGGCGCGGGGGTGTGGCTTGAGAGCAGCCCGCGCTCTCAGGCCCCGCCCCCCGCCCCTGTGTTATGCGTGACGCTTGCCGACGCCAAGGAAACGGCGGTGAGGTCATCGCCCTCCGCCTC